GGGGGGGGGAATGGGACATCTGTAATACTTTCAACAATAAAGATAAATTTTAAAAAAAAATGGAAGAAAATGTAAAATCATTGTAGAGGAACTTCAAAGTATGAGGCATGAGGGCAGATACAGGACTACCACTCTGGGAGAGATAAAAGAGATTCCAGTCAGGAGGAACAATTTAATATTTCTCTCTCACTGTTTACAAGGATCAAAAAGTTTGACAACACATTGGTTGCCATGGGAAAACATCTATATTCATACATTGCAGGAGGGAAAGAAAAACAGGCAACCTTTGTGGACAGCAACTTGGAAATATTTACCATGCAAATGCTTTTTGGTCCAAAAATCCATTTCTAAGAATATAGAGCTACACAGGTGACATGACTTAGTCTTTTACAGTCTTTCTTATACCAGCAAGAGGTTAAAAAAGAATCCCTTACCCTTTGAGATACCATGGTGAAACCTGGAAAGTATTATGCTAAGCAAAATAAGCAACTCAGAGAAAGACAAGTATGACATGATCTTACTTGTATGTGGACTCTAATGAACAAAATAAACCAATTAACAAAATAGAGCCAGAGACATAAAGGCATGGGACAGATTGACAAATCTCAGAGGGAAGGTGGGGGTGAGGGTGGGTGGATGGGTGGTGAGAGATTTATCTAAGAACTTATATGCATATATGCATAACCCATGGACACAGACAATAGTGTGAAGGCCTGGGGGGAGGAGTGCAGGGTGGAGAGAATCAATGGGGGGAAAAATGGGACATCTGTAATACTTTCAAAAATAAAGATTTTAAAAAAAACTTTGCACCTCTACTCACTCTTTCTTGCCCAAGTGTAATCTGGTTTTCACTTCCACGCCTCTCTACCACAGGACATCTAAGACTGCATTGCTGAACTTAAGGGCTTTTCTTCAGATACATTCTCTAGAACTTCAGTCATATTTAAAACTTAATTGGACCTTCTTTAAATTCACTTCTTTCTTGTCTACTCTCACCTCATACTGAGGTTTTCTTTTCACACTTCACTACTTTCCTTCTCCATCATGCCCCCTCAGATGTGCATATTTCCCAAAGCGCAATCCTTGTTCCTCTGGTCTTTTCTCTTCCAAGGTGGGAGGGCAGAGTTGGGGAAAATCCCTCATTATTAAGGTTTCCATTACTATATTTATGCTAAAGACTCCAATATCTTGACTTGTGAATGACCAAGCTCCAAGCTCCAGTTCCAAGAAGAAATATGAATGGCATTTCCACCTGACCATCTCACCCTGACCTGGGTGACCACCTGAGGGGCTGTGCTCTGAACTTCTCAGCAAAGGCCTGGTGCTCCACAAATTCTACCAGGCATCCAGCTTGAAATGTTTAAAATTCAGGGAGTCATTCATGCATTTGACAAACATCCTCAGATATCAAAGGCCTGCTTGTGGCTAGCAATCCTTTTCCACCCTTCCCTCGCAAGTTTTCCTTGAAAATTTCTGTCATGATTTCATTGCTCTACATTTTCACTTACCCACCCAGTTTCTGAATTATCCTATCATTTAGTCAACTAATACTTAGTGAGGACAAACTATGTGTGAGGCATCATGCTAGATATCATGGGGATACTAACACATTGCGTACTGCTCATGAGTTTTCTCGTGTTTTGCGCACCATCTGTTAAGGACCGCTCACGAGTTTTCTCATTTTTCATGTGCCATCTGTTATGGACCTTAGATATCAACACACTGTCTTGTCCACACTGAATGAAGCAATCTCATTGGTGGAAACTGTGCAGGTCAATCTATGAAAAACTATATAATTGCACGAACCCATAAAGCATTGCAGTTACATTGTATTTTGGTCATTCGAATAGTCTTCGTCTTCAAGTTCCTGGTGCTTTTAGAAATGCCCTCTCTCAGAAAAAGGAAGGAAACCAACGAAACTGATACACTTCCAGAAGTATTTAACGATAATTTATCAGATATTTCTAGTGAGATCGAAGATGCAGATGACTGTTTTGATGATTCCAGAGACGATTCTACTGATTCTACTGACAGTGAAATTATTAGACCTGTAAGAAAGCGCGAGGTGGCAGTGCTTTCAAGTGATTCCGACACTGACGAAGCTACTGATAATCGTCGGTCTGAAATTGACACACCACCAGCTTACAAGTGTTTGAAGGTGATGCTGGGGTCACTACATTTCCGTCTCAGTGTGACTCTGTACCCTCTGTGACCAATCTCTTTTTTGGTGATGAACTGTTTGAGATGTTGTGCAAAGAGCTGTCCAACTATCACGATCAAACCGCAATGAAACGCAAAACACCATCTAGAACACTGAAGTGGTCTCCGGTTACACAGAAGGACATCAAGAAATTCCTTGGCCTAATTATTCTGATAGGTCAAACAAGAAAAGATAGCTTGGAAGACTATTGGTCAACAGACCCTTTGATATGTACTCCTTTATTTCCACAGACAATGAGTCGCCATAGATTTGAGCAAATATGGACATTTTGGCATTTCAATGATAACGCCAAAATGGACAGTTGCTCGGGGAGACTTTTCAAGATCCAACCTGTGCTGGATTATTTCCTGCATAAATTTCGAACAATACACAAACCAAAGCAACAGTTGTCTTTGGACGAAGGAATGATTCCACGGAGAGGACGTTTAAAATTTCGCACATACAACCCAGCAAAAATAACAAAATACGGTTTACTTGTTCGGATGGTGTGCGAGAGTGACACTGGCTATATCTGCAATATGGAGATATACACTGCTGAAGGAAAGAAATTGCAAGAAACTGTTCTTTCAGTCCTTGGACCCTATCTTGGCATATGGCACCATATTTACCAGGATAATTATTACAATGCTAAATCTACTGCTGAATTGCTGCTACAGAACAAAACTAGAGTCTGTGGGACTATTAGGGAGAGTAGAGGTTTACAGCCGAATTTGAAAATGAAAACATCAAGAATGAAGAAAGGTGACATAATATTTTCCAGAAAAGGCAGTATTTTTCTCCTAGCATGGAAAGACAAGTGGGTTGTCTGAATGATATCAACGACCCATGACACTTCTGCCTCGACAACAGGAAAAAAAAAAATAGAAAAACAGGAGAGAATATTGTAAAACCTCCCTGCATCAAGGAATACAATGCCCACATGAAAGGCATTGACCGTGCGGATCAATTCCTTTCATGTTGTTCCATTCTAAGGAAAACGATGAAATGGACAAAATAAGTAGTGCTGTACCTTATAAACTGTGGACTTTTCAAGTCATTTAGAGTGTACAACGTCCTCAATCCACAAGGAAAAATGAAGTATAAACAGTTTCTGCTATCGGTGGCGAGAGGCTGGATAATGGATGACAATAATGAAGGCTCTCCGGAACCAGAGACAAATCTGTCCAGGCCTTCCCCTGGGGGTGCAAGGAGAGCACCTCGTAAAGATCCACCCAAAAGGTTGTCAGGTGATATGAAGCAGCATGAACCTACGTGTATTACAGCGAGCGGAAAGAAAAAATTTCCTACGAGAGCCTGCAGAGTTTGTGCCACCCATGGAAAAAGGAGCCAATCTAGATACTTATGTAAATTTTGTTTGGTCCCTCTTCATAGAGGAAAATGTTTTACACAGTACCATACGTTAAAAAAGTACTAGGAACTTTTTAATTGTTTTTGTAAATAAAAATGTTATAATTATTTAAAAACAACACCTAAAGTGCATTATGATCTATAGTTATGATGATTTAAATAACGTGCAGTTTGCCCAAAAACATGCGGTCCCTGGCGTATGTCTTAGAGATTTCTATGCGGTACGCAATGTGCTAAGATGAAAAAGGCACACAAACAGCTATATCTAAAGTTAGAGAATGGATGGTAACAAAAAAAGAGATAAAGGACAATAAAAATTCACAACAGAGACGTATTTCTCCAGAGAGAAAGCTCTAGAAAAACCTTTTCATACAGCAAAAATGACATTTGAACAGGATGGATATGATTAGCTGAATATAGACAAGAAAAAAAGGCATTCATCGAGTCAGAAACATCAGGGCTTAAATCCACGTTCTGCTCCTAACACCCTGTGACTTAGAGCAATTAACTTAACCCTTATTTTCATGTACAAAACAGAGGTAATAATAATAACATCTTTCTCACAGGCATTTTGTTAGGATTAAATGGATACATAATATGGGGTACAGTGCAGCAGATTAACAATATGTTATATCATGAAAACATAGTGCGGAGTGGAAAAATTAAAGAAAACAAGATATAAACTGTAACACAATACAATCATTTAAATTAAAGTATATCACACAATGGTTGCCAAGGGTTAGGGATGAGGGAGGCTGTGACAACAAAGGGGAAACAGAAGGGAATGTTTGGGGGGATCTGAATTCTGTTATATTGATGGGTATACAAATCCATGCTTGTATTTTAACTCACAGAACTGTATACCAAAAAAAAAAAAAAGTGAAGTTTACTGTATGTAAATGTAAAAGGTACTTGTATAAAAGCAATAACATATATTTTCATGAGTATATGTAAACAAAAAGGTAAACATTTACTTTGGAAGGGTGATAATGAGGATGGAGACAAAAAGAAATAAGAAAGTATATATAAGAGAGTAGCCTTGCACAGACCTAAAAGACAAGGTGTCATGCACTGGGGCTGAGGAGTACCCTCTGTATCTAAGGTCTCTTCCTCTGCCCTCAAAAAGGGAAAGAGAATGACATACAGGAGGGTAAGAAAAATAAAGGAGAGTGAGGAAGTGATGAGTAGGAAGAAAGTAAAGTAAGAATCAGAAAGCTTTGAAAGATATTATAGTCTCACTAGTTCAATAAGTTCCATGACTACAAATACCATATCTATATATCTATACTCTATAAATAGAAGATAGATGATAGATAGATGATAATAGATAGATGATAGAGATGATGATAGATTAGATAGATAGGTAGATGATAGATAGATGATAGATAGATGATAGATAGATAGATGATGATAGATGATAGATAGATAGATAGATAGATAGATAGATAGATAGATAGATAGATAGATGATAGATGATAGATAGATAGGTAAGTAGATAGATAGATGATAGGGATAGATGATAGAGGTGATGATAGATAGACATAGATGATGATGATGATGAT